AACATGCATAATATGTTCCTCTGACATTTTTTAATACCTTCAAATCTTTGAACTGAAAACTGCTAACGTTCTCGGTCGTTAGAGTGACAAATTCTGTCAATCCACTCACGCGGTTCCCCAACGCTGCATAGAGTGGCAAGTAATCGAAATAGTCTTCCTTTTCAGGAACAATCCCCTCATGAAGGTCCCACTTCCTGGGATAAGGAAGACTTGTGGCTGTATGAAATATATAAGAAAAATACTACAATTGCAACATGTCTCATGTCTGGATTTGGTCGAAGCCCATCGACTAGACACCTCAGTAACCGAAAAGCAAAGCTGGAGAATTCTCAAATGGACCCTTACACTTCTACATTCTGGAAGAAAGTTATTCCCTTGAAGGATACCAGCATTTCTGTTGGCTATGAATTGAACCCTCCTTAGCCTGCGTAGGTGGAGATTTTGGCGGCGCAAAAGCGATTAGCGACGGGGCCGTGCGGGGATAAGGACGGAAGATGGTTTTAAAAATTGTCAGCTTCGCCGCTTAGCACACCGAAAAAAAAAAAGAAAAAAAAAGAAAAAAAAAGCAAAATCGCTAGTCACGCAGGATAGACTTTCCTTTAGTTTGTGACCTTGCCCTCAGAAGCTGACACTGCTTTCCCCACTCAATTCTATTCTAACACGAAGTAGGAACTTGTAATACTGTTGGGGTTCAAGATCCCTTACTCAGTGTCCTGGGAATACATTCACCCAGTTAAAACTCACGTTGGGAGCCATTTAATCCAAGCGCCTCTTGTGGCTTGTTAACCTTAACCGCCAAAACACACCATGCAAGATACAAGTCGCAACGACAGGTCTCTAGAACTTGGATTCGTTCGTACTGCTTCCAAAATAAGTCGCTGAAATATAAACGCGTTTGAAGGTGTGCTTCATTTGCACTTATACATTGTGCATCTCACACGCAAGAAGAAACTGTCGCACTACGAGTTGACGCCACCTTTAATTTGTCCCAGTCTTTAGTGTAAATACTTGAGATTGACGGAAAGGGCCATGCGCCCGTTACCGTTAGTAAACGTTTTACGGCGTGTATATACTTCTATTCAAGATGTATAGAAGTAATACTAAAATCTACGCGAACTTTTTTTTTTCCAACAACTTGGTAACACCTGGTAAAGGAAACTGAACGTCGGGTATTCAGACGGCGAGGACGTGACAGAGGTGGCACTTGATGCGCATGGTTTATTTTTCTATTTCAAGATCAGGGAAAGGGATGAATAACCAAGTAAGGGAAAATTAGCTATCTCGGCTAACAGCTGTTTTTCTTTTCATTCCAAATCAGATTGACCGTATGATTCATAACTGATGCGTTATAGAAATTGCATACTTACCAGGTTGTGCAAAATTCTTTATCCAATTAAATCCTGGGCTTTCGTTGGACAAGACAATTCTGGGCACCAATCGTTTTTCTAATAGCATCTTATAAAACGCGGCCCATAGTTCGTCAGTGACGTACTCATGACCACTGGTATGCAACCCGTACACGTACAAACCAGGTTCAAAGAGCTTCACCTCAACATTTTCGATTTCCTCTCTGCGCCCTTTCTCCTCTTTGAATACGGTCAAGATCCTGTTATCCACGGACAGAGCGCATATCACAGGTTTCTCGGCGTGGAAACCGTTGGGAGCATAACATCCTTTGCGATTGAGTGTCAAATTAGTATTGTTAAAAAAAGTGTTGAAAAATTATAAAATCCCTCCGTTCAGCGGTATATTACGTGGGGAGTAAGCCCCATTAAACACTGTCTCCTGATGGCTTAGCATTCCTACAATTAATTCTTAAGAACAAGTACTTTTAAAGCAAATCACACAAATTCTATTGATGTGGAGTATGGTAAATCACTCGGCTGTTCAATCGGAGATAATGATGCTTGATGTTGGAGGCTAACATTTTTCGATTGAAATATATTTGCAAAAGCTAAGCAACAGTGAATTCATCAATAGCCGACTGAAGTAGTCAGTTAAAGAAACTTCGACTTGCCTGGAATTCTCTCCGAGCACAGGGTGACCTGTTCGAAAAACTGGTTCTCCCAAACAGCGACAAATTTCTTCATTTCAGAATCCTGAAAAGAATCATCATAGTGTAATTTTTACTTAGATTAGTACTCCCTATTCCAATGTACATTAGCATGCGAGGTGATTTTCTCTCATACTTCTCCCCTTAAATGTTATGCCCAAATTTCTACTCTACCAAAAGAAATGGAAAGTTCCATTGCGTTATAACAACGATTAACTTTAAAGCAGCATAATTTCCTCGGGAGAAAGAGACAACATACTTAATTCTAAATCGAAAGTTTTAGAGTACCAAAATATAACATGATCTGTCAAACTTGTTTTTGTGACCAGTTGAAATGACATGATTCATAATTGCTGCGCTATAATTATATAGCACTTAATTTTACAGGGCTAGAAATTTAATTCGTCGTAGTGACAATTTGTTGCTTTGAAAGTTGTAATTAGAGTCCCAGACTTAAGACGGATCCCTGTGAAAAGTCCTACCTGCTCAAATACGATTAGATCACCATAAAATCATCACAAAGAAAATTTTGGTTATGATCTATATCCTCACTTACCCTCTTGCTCTTGCATAGTTTTTCATTGGCCATTCGATGCTGTTTTTCTCCACGTATCAGCTGCCCGATACGTCTGTCCAGTTCTCCCGCTGAGTGGAAGGAATCATGGGAAAAAAGTTCCGAGCTTAGCTGTCTGGCGCACTCCTTTACGGCAGTAACCTGTTCCTCCATCTCCTCCAAGGTTGCCTGAGCTCCAAAGAGGTCGTGTCTCTGTACTTTGACATCACCGACTTGAACACATTCAACATGGTACATGGAAAGGAGATCCTTCCATTCATTCCAGTGTGATCTAAGGACATCAGATATTGTGTCATTCGGCGACTTTCGCTCACTTAGGTAGCAAGGAAGTTCAATTTTGGGTGAAGACCACAGATCTGGACTGTCTGGTTCCTTTTGATTATATCCTACTGCTTGAAATTGCGCGATGAGAGATTGATTTCTTTCGATAGATAAAATGCGCCCTTGGATGGTGACAAGTAATCTTTCCACTAGAGTAGGGTCATCATTAGAGTCATCAGAGGATTGATGTGAAAGTAGAGGCTGCAAAATGTTTCGAGTATGAGAGACGAGGGTTGGTTTGGTAACGATCCCAGAAAGCCAACGCCTCAGCAAAATAAGCAACGATTCATGCACTTCCTTGTATCTCAGAGCAGCTGGAAAATACTCCTGCAGGAAGCATGCTTGACTCGCAACGGACATTGCATCTCTTCTTGGTTCGTCGGTTCCTTTCCTTAGAGATGTTCCCTTACCAAAGATCTCTGTCAATAGAGACTTCAGTGTCTGGTTATGAATTTTGTACAGATGTTTGATCCCTTCCTCTTTATTTTCATAGCTAACGCAAAACCTTTGGCAGGCATCGAGAACTAATTGTCTAACATTAGCATCTTTGAGATTTTTTTCAGGTTGTAGAGGTCTCAAGATATTGACGAATTCGCTTAGCAATCTAGCTAATCGTATGCGTTCGCTAGTTTCACCCGTCTTGATGCCTTCTCCATCACTCACTTGAAAACCATCGTCAGGAAAGATGACTCTCTTGATCATCTCAGGCAGAGGTGTGTTAATTTGCAGCGACGTGGAGTCTACATTAGCAAGCTGCACAGAGCGAGAGCTTAGAGAAAAAATGGCTTCAATGTCGTGTGATTTCAGATCCTTCAGTGGCGTCAGAAGAAATGCTTGACACCAAGAGTCAATTGCCCGAGCAGAAAATCCGTCTGTTATCGTCGCCTGCCTCCACTTAGGCAAACTGGTAAGGCCATACGGATCATCTCTCAGCTGGTCGTATAACTCATGAAGTTTCTTTAGCCTAGTTAAAAGATCTCCACTCGAATTCTTGCAACGGTGAGCGAATGATTCAAGTAACTGTAATATAAATTCACTTTGCAAACGGTTCAAGGAAGACATCACGCCTTTTTCGCACAAAAGACGAATTTCCCTCACCAGCTCCAGTGACTGTTCAATAGAAGACCACACAGAGACAATCTCGCCAACAGTGTCACCAGCCTGGATGTTGATTTTGTATAGCTCTAGAACACTTGATATTACTTTAATGTGCAACTGCTTCTCCAGAAACCTATGTAGCTGCTCAAAGCTAGGCTTGAGACGTCTGAAGTAAAGAAAGCGAGGCATTTGCATCTTAGACAACGTTTCACTAAATAACGTGTGAAAATTGAAGGCAGTCTCTTTGTCGAGGTCGTTCCGATGCACCTTACAAGCCTCTACAATAACCTTTGAGCAGCAATGTGGGCAGAATTGGTCATGCTGTTTTGCCCAGTGAAAAACAATTTCTAAGGACGGCGCCTCGGCTAGAATCGATAAAAAAGAATGCATAAAATCGTCTACGGAGAGTTTGCATCCTTTTGCACACCGAAATTGTTTCTCTGATTCAAAGATGAGTTTCCAAAACGCCCAGGAATTCTCATGAAGTTGATTCTTGTGTACGACTAGGCGTTTGAAGTGATAAATGACTTGCACAGCCATTAAGACTGGGGTTAAAATGGCCTCTCCCACCTTCTTGTCGGTGGGGATTGATTCCACTTTGACCACGGGTGTTGCACAGAGACCCTTGCTACGTACCCCAGAAGGCTTTTCATCTTCATAAGGTTTAAACTTGAAGAGCCCATCTTCAATTCGTACGTCAGAAAAATTCAAACATCTCGCCTGTCGACCAGAGCTAACTTGGAAGAAACGATTACTCAGATCTAGTGCAAGACCTGCATCTTCTTCTGAAATGGCGGAATAAAAGACAAGCCACTCAAGTTCACAACATGCAATTCTTCTTGTCATAGGTATAATATGGTGACATCCAAAATGCCACTCAGAGTGAAATCGATCGGCGCTGATTTTCCTCAGGATTTCTCTCAGACGCTTCATCAACTCCCCTGCCCTCGATGAATCATTTGAAAAATTGTAAATTTTCCAAAGTAGTCTTGGGACTTCAAAATACGACAATATCTGGTAGCTAGGAGGAATTTTCCACCTTGCGGAAACTTCAGACAAAAATTTTTGTTTTTCTTGTTGATCGACAGGATTTCCCAGCAGAAACGAAACGTTGAGCATCGTGAAAGGAATCAGCTCTGGTCGAACATTACGAATAACATGCACCAGCTCTTCGAAAACATCTAGAACGCCCTTCAGTGATGACATCTTTTCAATGGCCACCTTGATAAAGGGTCCTAAATGGTCGAAAAATGCTTGAGCCAAGTCTTGCATCGAGGAAATGAGGAGAAGAATTTTTAGCCCGTCAGTTATGGAAGACACTGAGGAAAACTTTCCAGAAAAAGCAGACGAAAGGTCTCTTCTTACGGCTGTTGGCATTCTTGCGAGCTTGTTCAGCAGTGCGGAATCATGTAAGATATCGATGACCTGATTAAGCAAGTGGATTTCCTCATAGCTTGAAACACTGCCTTTCGCCAAAGACACTTGAAAAAAGGGAAGCAAATGGTGCATGGCACTTGTCAATGTTGCCATAGTTGGTGGACTACTAAGAGTAATATTGCACATTTTCTGGATCAATACCAACTTATTCATAGTTGAGAACATATTAAAATGCAGAATAGCTCCAGCAGCTCGAGCTAACATCTCCAAAAGATCGAAATTCTTAGTAGAGCATCCTTTAAAAGACTCTTGAGCGGTAAGGGACGAAAAAGCTTCCGTTTGACTTCTGGATAGACAAGCTAGTCTGAGAGCTGTTGATCTCATAAGAGAGAAAAGTTGCAAAATCTCATATGGGGAACTAAAGCCCCATGCCATACTAAGAACAGAGCGGCAAACTTTCACATCGATGTCTTCCTTAAATAATCCCAGCGATATCAGTCCGCAGGCAGTTAAGGTCCACACTTTTAACACATTAGTGGAAGGAAACTGAGTAGTGGAATGCTGACTGGAAAGTAGCTTTTCACATGACAGATGGTCGCCTTTTAGAGCATCAAGAACTGCATGCCAAAAAAGATCAAAGTATTCGTTTGTTTCCTCTTGCAGGACGCACGCTTGTGTTTGCATTAGTCGCAGAATGTAGAGAACAATCTTATAATTAGTTTCAGATTTATTCGAAAGGCACTTGATGATTCTAAGTTTTCTTTCACCTGAGAGCGGCAGTCTAGATAGGGATAATAACGCCTCCAATACATCTTCAGGAATGGTCGCAGGTCCCTCTTCGGCAGAAAAAGTCATGACAATTGAGAGAACTTCATTCAAGATTTCTCCTTTACACATATGATTTTGACTTGATCTTGTTTTAGTAGAAAATTCATTCCAAAGTGTTTTCAATTGCCTCCTAAGGGATGGGTTCGAATCACAAAGAAGATGCTTTTTGATGTTGAACGGCAGCTGCTCACAAACGCTTAAGAATTCAACAAGATCCAGATCTGATGAAGGAGCCCATGAATTGCTAGTTGTTTCATTGAGAGTGCAATAGGTGAGCAGCCGAATCATCTCGCTCTTAGCTTCTTCTGTGCAATTCTGATGGTACACCCTTCGTAAAAATTGTAAAGTTGGTACCAGTCCATAGGGAGGGCGTTCAAGCCAGTGCCGTTCAACTGGTAGTCCTGCAGCTGCAGCTGAAGTCTTCTCAATCAAGACCAATACCTCTTGACGCAAGTGAAAGGAGGTTGGAAAGATCTTAGTTAGCCACCAAAGCACATTTCTCCAGACCATCATCGAAGGCAAAAAAGTGCTAGGAAGTTGTTCTAGGAAAATCAGTACACTTTCAGCTGTTTCCGTATTGCTGCTTGATCCTTCATCCAAAAGGGCCAACAAGCAAGCAAGATTTCCGTAGCCTTGGTCATCAGAAAAAGCTTTTATCCAAAAATTCATGACTTTGTTGAGTAGCTCACCGTTTGGACATAGCAACAGACCTTTTAAGAGGAGCGCGAGCGCTGCTTCCAAGAATCGTGACTCAGTTCTTTCTTTGTGAAAGAATCCATCGAGAACTTCTCTCAAGACATCATTGGAAATAGTAATCGCTGCTAGCAACTGAAGGGATAAGGCAGCTACGTTAGGGTGGATGCAGAAGTGATCTACATGGTTTAAAAGTATGTCCATCCTTGTCTTGTCGTTGGGCATCCTAAGGTTATCGGCCTTCCTTTTCATTTCTTCTAAAACCCCCAAAAAATAGAAAATGGTACTTTGACAAGGTAAAGTGGATGCTGAATATTGGAAACCTACACCGAGAAGCTCGATTTTCTCTCCGGAAAGATCAACCGCCGCTAAAGCACATGCAAAAGCATTGCTGACATTCGCTGATTCCAGAAGTTTCATCCAGTTGGTTACCAAGAATGATGAAACCGTCTGTCCTTCTCGCAGTGCACCGACATAATCGTTTGATTTGATCACATCTTTGTCGTCTACCGAGGCTAACCTTACTGTTATATCGATGACCTCGACTAGATAGTCTTCATTGCGTCTACTGTCAAGAACCTGGAGCAGTCTGCTGAAGAAATCTTTGGTATAATTGTGTTTGCCAAGTAATATAAAGTTATCATCATAATAAGAGTCAGCCGAAGCCTTTAACTTCCCATCTTGAAAAATTTGTACAAGTTTCAGTAAGTTAGAAAGAACTCCCAAGGACAGGCATTTCAGGTTGGTGTCAGAAGGAAAACAGAATTGTAAAGCGCTCGTGTAATAGTAAAAGGCAACTCGCTTCGACACATCATAGGTGTAACAAAAAAGGATACAAATATCAACAAGTTTCTTGAAATTTTGCCCAAAATGTATGGAAGATTCCACCACAGAGTTTCGACATGGAGCAACAGCTAAGTTGAAAATCTGAATGATGTGGTAGCCTTGCAATTTCTGTACTTGTTCAAGGAAGATTCCTCGCTGTAGTTCATCTTTGAAGGGAAGTGCTACTAAGGTTGCAACGATAGTTTCTAACTCTTCTGAGAGTTGACCAGAGAGGCTGTTATTCTGCTTCAAAATCTGTTGAATGTGACCCTGAACACTTGTAGGCGGACATAGTGTCTTGAATTCTTTCTTTTTGTCCATTGTCACCAAAGAATTATTTCTTTTCCCATTCAAACACCCAAAGATTGCTTTCTTAGTTTGTCAATGGGCCGTGCATTACCTCTAAATTAGATTGAAAACTTTAGTATATATGATATACGTACTCGACTTAGTTGAAATCCTAAATCAAGCACATTTTGGCTGAGACAAAGGATATGTACACGTCTATTTTTCCTGATATCTTACACAGAGTAACCAACCGGACGTGCTAGTTTGTATAGCAGTAATATTCATTCCAAGAAACGGGTAACTCTTACCCCCTTTTGCATGAAAAGGTATCTGAGATCCAAACTCGTGTGATTATTTCTAAAGTTTAAGACCTGATAAGACTGGTTTTCCCATGTCGTCAAAACAGAACGATCTGCGATTTCACTGTTCCCGACGTTCCCTGATTTTGCCAATATATCGATGGATCGACAGACGTCTGTCCCATTGAGATAATTGCGCACACCATTTTCAATTGTGACTCAGGGGTACTGTAGCTAAGCAACTGGAGGACTGGTAGGGAGGCAACACTATTACCGACTTCCTCGACCGTAAGAATCGAAGCTTTCATACACCGTGAACAAGGTTAATGATCGCCATCATCGTAAAAATCTGGGAAGGCATTAGGAAAATAGAAACGTTTCCGATTTTCTTGATTTGCCGCCGAGACAGTGGGAGGATCTCTACAATCTCAAGTGCTCATTTGTCGGAAAAATCTGGGATGTTCGGGAAACAGTGAAATCGCCGATCGTCTAGGATTTTCCCGAGAAAAGATAAAAGACATCGGGCGCATAATTCTGCAAATGATCGAGATTTTCCTTTGTCTTCGAATTCGTCGCATCTTTTGAGGCAAGGTCAAGAAACGCACTGACAAACTGATTTTGTTTGGAGGAGTAATATACAGAGTTTAAAAAAACAAGGTCATAAATAATCACCGTGCCATGCACTACATCAGTGACTGGTCTGAGTTGCTCCCAACCGAGCAAACCATGCATAGTTGAAGATAATATTGCTGTCTTTAATCAGATACCCTAGCCATCTGCGATCCTTGTGCGTCGGCAAATTATATTTCGTTTGAGATATAACCTTTTCAACATTCGCTCATCAAGTATTTTTGTAATCACAAAGCTCATAAAGCGAGAGGACCTTTTTTGAAGTCACACTTACCTCTGATATGTCCTAGAGGGATTGTTTTCGGGAAATTCTCGCAGAAGTGAATTACTGGGAAAGACAAACGAAAACGAGGCTTTTCATAATACCGCTGACTATGATGCGCGGTTACCCAGCTGACCGTGCGACGCTTGTCACAGAAAAAAACCGGGAAAGGTGATTTAACACGGGTCTTGTTTATTTGGAAATGAATATTTTGTGAGGCTCTTTTAAGATGGAAAAACGCGTAAAAAGAAAATTAACTAGATCTTGTAGATAAATAACTTCATTGACCCAAAATGGATTATCTATCTAGACTGTTTAAGTTTTTGTTTGTTCGTAAGATGTTATTAATTTAACGGGTGCTATTCCTCTAGCCGTCACGATGTCTGAGATAAGCTTGTCATTTGAAAGATGCTATTGTTTATGAGCGCTAATATTCAGTGGAAAAACCGCGACAATTACGATCGCAAATCGTTAATGTCAGTAGTTTAGCACCACATGTACAGCGAGTATTATGTTCCCAATACTGGGATGAATATTTTGATTTGATTGCTGCACAGGCAGAGAACCCTGTGGGCTTGAGGCCGCGTGACATCAGTTATTTGATGCGCTGGTTGAACTCTTACATTGTTTGTAATTTGCAACGGTCGATCAAAATTTCCGCAAATCGTAACATTTCATCCCCAAAATCCGCTTAATGACAGTTAGGTAAGTAAAGTTCACTTACCTTGGTTTTTCTGTGTTGTCCAAAGTGATTTTGGGAGTTTGGGACGGTTCATTCGCCACTTTGTACTGATGCCCCTCCAAAGGCAAAGGAAAAACACAAGGCGTGCAACTTCCAGGACTGTCTTGGCCAAAAACCTCCAGAACTTCGCAAATTTCTTCCGCTTCCAAATGTCGCTCACCTCCCAGCTTCGGGCACGTCAAAATTCGATAAACGTGTAAGAGCCAAGCCAAAAATCAGTGCAAATACCCGCGTCTAACCACCTCAAAAGCCTGCTCGATTTCCGGCATTCGCTCATCATCTGCCGTCGACACATGATATATGTGGACCGAAGAGGTTGATCATAAGTCATAAGCCTTCGATTAACCGTTGGTAATAAATTTCAAATTAATCACTAACTGGGCTCAGATTTCACCCTACCCTCCCCACGCCTGAGCTAGTTGGTACCGTCTTTCGACTGACACACTAGCGTATCAAATAACTGACGTCACGCGGCCTCAATCCCACAGAGTAGTCTGCCTATGATTGCTGCAGATAACATGTAGATGTCAACGGTATTATTTCGTTTAACATCAGCACCAGCTTGGCCAGCTTTCCTAAAGGTTTGAATTAAGTTAAAGCTCGAAGGATTATTTACCGTCTGAAGTCACCTAAATTATCAATTAAAACAAACTACGTTCTGAAATCAGTGAAATTACTTTCTTAAGTTAACTAGACCCTCGAGGAGCGTTCACTCGGGCTTCGTATCGAGCGTTTTACTTGAGCATTCACCTCTGGATAGTTTGGTTTGGTATAATTGACTCTAAGCATGTCTCGCATACTGGGGCTCTATATTCATTTAAGGGGTCATCATTCTCTTCTCCATTACTATTTAATTTATCGTTTTCTCTAGCATCAAACTTCAAAGCAGGATCACTATTTGTTGTTACATTGTTTGTTGTAGCTTGTCGATGTGTATCATTATCGTCTGCATCATTTTGTATCATTTCATCATTTTGTAAAGTTGTGAGGTTGCTATCAATATTGTTGATATCAATTAGTACATCTTTGTACAATGGATTATGTACTTTGAGCCAGTTAAGAACTTGTTGTATTAACTCTGGTCGTGATGCTTTAAAATAAACTTGTCCTCCAGATTGTAACTTTCTTTTAAGCTTAATTATTATTATACAAGATCTATCAGGTTGATGAGGGAGTTGATAACATGTCTGATCACATTCTACAGGTACATTGCATATTACACCCTTAATTTTTCTCTGTTGTCCTTTATGCACGACCCCAATCTTCTCAAATACTATTCGTTGAGCTATTCGTATTTGTTCTAGTTTTTCTAATGAAGATAGTTCTGTGGGTATTTCATCCACATACATATTATTCACTACAGCCCAACATGGTAATTTCCTTTTATGACCTTTTAGTGACATGTGTTGCATATACACTGTTTTCCATCAAATGACTGTTGAATATTGAAATATGTTTGGCAAGGGTACTTCTCGTTTATGCATGTTATTACTGATTTCTTATAAAGTATTCGATTACAGACAGTACATATAAAATAAGGGCCCTCTCTTATTTTCCTCTTAAATTGGTTAATACACAATTCAACCAATCTGGCTTTCACTAATTTCTCATTGGGTCGGGAAAGTAATTCTTTCCTCTTTCCAGCATCCATAGTTGAATATTTTCTTTAATGTCTTCTAGAAACCTTTTTTTGGCAACAGGTTCCATGCTGTCATACATATATTTTTTTCTGTGTTTTCTCATGATGTGTTTCCTTTCAATTTCAGTAATTTTAGATGAACAGCAGATAAATTGTATATCATATTCCTTAGTCTGACATTCCTGTTTACTTTGAACAATATTATTAATTTCCTCTACTAGATTATCCACAAAGAATAAATACTTACAGAAAACTTCTGCCCAGAACCACAGGCCTCTCTACCAAAAGAATACTTTGTTTAAGTTTGATACTTTAGGTAACTTGCTTTATTTGCAAAATAATTAACATAGAAGGCATCAGTCTATACACATTAGCACAACTGCCAAAATTTGTTTCAGCCAGAAACTTGTTTATTTTTTTTCAATCATTGATAATCATGATGTTATCCCACCCATTGATCTGTATGGCCTTGTACAAACGTATGAAACATGTTTCTCTATTATTTTGTTCATGGGATGCTCAAGTTCAGAAAAAATCTCCAATGATTATTGTTAGGGCCACAGCTTTGCCAAGCAGCTGGGCTAAAAAAGATTGAACAGTTGGCAATACAGAAAACAATACTGAATACACCAATTGGCAACAGGTTCTATGCTTTATTTTTTAATTGGCAACAGGTTCTATGCTGTCATACATATGTTTTTTCTGTGTTTTCTCATGATGTGTTTCCTTTCAATTTTAGTAATTTTACATGAACAGCAAATAAATTGTATATCACATTCCATAGTCAGTGACATTCCTGTCTATTTTGAATAATATTAATTTACTCTTCTAGATTATCCACACCACGAATATGTATTGTCTGTTTCATTGCAGGTGAATGACTGTCTTCATATGTCAGAAGAGAAAACAATTGCTTAACTTTTGTATTTTGTTGATAAATACAAGCTATACAGTAACTTGAAATCCACATTAAAAATCCTGTTTTCCCAGTGGGGTTCCTTAAAATCAAGGTCTCTAAAGATGTTCTGCTTTCAGTTAAATTACTTAATTCTCTGTGACTTACTTCATTAACATGTACATTTATGTTAGTGCCAAAAATTGTAAAACTGTCAGTCAGGGTAACTGATATTAAACAGTGGTTACTCTGCATTGTATTGTTAAGCTGAAATCCATTTTCAATAATTGCATCTAAGGTATTTGAGTTCTAGTAAGTACAAGGTGAAATGATTGAATAATGTGGAATAAAGAACTTCTGCAAAACAGTGGTCTTTGTGACATTTGTGTTGACCTGATATCTCTTTAATACCTCTCTTACATTGTTGC